ACTCGTTGCGTCTCTCTGGCAATATACTCGCGTTGTATCGCGCGGATGAAACGCGTTACAGAAACGAAACAAAAATTCTCGCCAGTACAGTGAGAGAGAAGCCGGCCAGAGCAGTTACGTTCGCGGGACTGTAAGTTAAAATAATTACGAAAAAGTATACCGTAGAGGATAAGCGCCGTATGAAAGTGGATAAAAGGTGAAAAAAGGTCAGGACGGATTAGAAGGGTGCATTAAAGGGAAAACCCGACGGATGAGAAGAAACGAGAAACTCGCGTATGCTCTTAACGCGCGTATATGTTGGCGCGCATAAGACGTTTCCGTCAGATAGATTAAAAATATGAGAGATATGCAGAGCTGGAAGAAGCGAAGGAGAGAAATAGTTAATCTTTCAGTGCGTTAAGCAATCGCGCGATAGAGAATAATTTAAAAGATATAATAATCGCAGAGAATAATCTCTGCAATGTACTTGTGAAATTATTGGAAATAAGAAGTACAATATATAGGTACGTGTATGTAGCTTATATTTAAAGATATGAAAGTTGAAACTTTCAGTTGATTTCTTCAATAAAAACACTCTTTGAATACTTCTTTAAGTAAAAACAATTAATCTTTACAAGATATACTATAAAATATATAGTAAGGATGCAATATATTCAAATCTCTCCGACAAATTTACTTTGTAATCAGTTTGTTAACAGTTCACGCTAAAATTACTTTAAAAAAGAAGTTTTCAACAAAACTCTCTTTTATTCTACCTCTACATAAAATCAGTACTTTTTGCATACGCAAGTATATATATCTGCGAGTCAAGACATATGTAAACTCGCATGGAAAATATATAAGAGTATAAGACTCGAGAAATTGCGAAAAAGGAAAAAGGAGGAAAATAAAGCGCAGTAGAAATAAAAAAAAGATGAGTTCTAGATTTTTTTCTTGTTGCACACCGTGTAGTCTTCTTTCCGATTTTATGGACATGATATAGGCGCACAGTTGCCCGCGTCGAGGTGCAAGATGAACAGACGGGATAACACACGCCCGTCGGTGCTACAATGGCTCTGGTATGGCGCGGCGTTGTAACGAGAAAACAGACAGCGCGCGATACAGCGTCGGCTCCACGCCGCGTCGGCTGGCAGGGAATTTCACTTTTACATGGTCGTATATTTTGCTGCGGTGACGCGCCTATCGGGCTTCGATCAACGCGCAATGGCTTTTTATTATTAACGCGCGCGCGGCACGTTTTACTATCTTTATGTCTTTAATCCGTCCGATGAGGCGGTAACGCAAGGGACATCGGTTGTTCTTCTCCCTTTTTTTACGACTCTTCGTGTATAAAGAGTGATGTCCTCATAGATATCGTGCATTTAAGAGCTCGTAGTCGACGACGGAATGGTCATAGTTGATAAAAATGTCATTGGCGGTGACGATACTTCATAAGATATTGAGACGATGTTGGACCTATGATACGTGCGGCGGTATATCGCGTGTAGGTCGTTAAAAAAATACATTATTCAGTAAAGAGTAAGAGTTTTTAAGTAGCTATTCTACTTAATAATGATAACTAACTGTCAGATGTATATTAATATTTCTTCTTCCATTGTCGTCATTTCTTCTGTTCTTGTTTATTGCTTAACGTATACATATACACACACACATGTGTCTCCGGATGTGGAGGATAAAAGTCAAGAATGTACATACATTCGTTTTCTTGCTTCAAAAGTGACATGACTAAAAAAAAAAAAAAAAAAATTCTAGTTATTATTATGAATAAGTTAAGCAAAATTACTCTATTAATCATCAAAAGTAAACTAATTTAACTTCACAATCTGTCCGCCAAATAGCACTCGTCGTTCTCAAGGTTTTCAAGAGAGATCATAATATCTTCTACAAGAATGATATATTTAAGTTGTATTGTTTTTGTAAATAAAAAGTAGAGTCTTCTAAAGGAAACATTTAAAGTTAAGACAGTTTTAGTGATCAAAGTTTGAAGAAGAAATAGTTTTATTTGGCTGATCTAGATAGAAACTGTTGGTGATATTTCGGTAAGATTGGGAACCTTACTTTATAAAAGAATAACACATTATTTAAAAAGTAACGATTCGTAACTTTATCATTATTTTTTTATAATGTGAAAGTAAAATATTAAATTAAAAAATTACATTATATATTTAATAATCAATACTAATCATGAAAATATCGATATTAAAATTCTAAGCCACTCTTACAGCGAGCTTTTTTTTCTTTATATTAAACTCTCTAATAAATCTTTAATAATTCTTTACATTAACATTTTTATTTCTTAATATATGCTTATCTTTAGAAAATTAAATTGTAATTTATAAACGTAAGTTTTATTAAAAATTTTTATTAAACATTGTTTTTAAACATTAATATCGTTATCAAGAGTGCATTTCAATATTCACTGCCAATAATGAAAATTTATATTGTAATCCACATTACTTATATGTACCTATACTACAGATTTTCAGTATTGGCAATAAATATCGAAATACAGCCTAAGATATGAAGTATAAAACATTTTTCGATATTTAAACTTCCATTATAAAATCTAACAATTACATAAAAGTAATGTGATTTATTGAATAATTGTAAAGATAATAAGGGATTTAAATAACGATAAAATAACGGTCGATTTCATTACTGTTACTAAAGATGATAACAACGGTGCCGTTACCAGACAAAAAATATAACGATCGTTATCGAAAAAAAAAAATAACAAAAATAATAGTAACGGCGTTACAAGTAACGCGTTATTTTCAACCCTGTATTTTAAGTTATATCACTTTTGATAAATTATTATATATATTACATACGGATTTATTATAATTTTGTAAAATAGTAAAATCATCACAATTTGAAAGAGTGATTTTTCAAAGTTGTGAAACGGAATACAAAAATGATAAAAATAATATTTGATCATATTTCTAAATGGCACACACCTTCCATAATAGTAATCATAAGACGTATCGTAAGAATCAGCCAATTAGAATTAAGAATACAAAAGAATTCTCTGTGTTGTTGGCTGATTCTTACGTCTTATGGTTACTGTTACGAAAGGCATGTGCCATGGTCGTAAGGACTGCCGCAGACCAAATTTCTAATAAAATAACAGTAACCTTAAGACGTGAACTTAAGCCGATGACTCAATCAGGATACTGCTTTAGATCTATGCATTATAATGAAATAGAAATAGCAATAAACTTAACCATAAGACAACTTTAACTGGTTGAAATTCACTTAATTGCGAGGTTATGGATAAATTTATTGTTATTTCCATTTCCGTTAGATTAGACGTAGACCTAAAACAATATCCTCATCGGCTTAAGTTTACGTCTTACGGTCACTGTTGCGGAATTTTGTATGCGGCAGCCCTGAGAGTCTATTCTTTTTACTGATTGTTCGATTAGTCAATAATTTTTTAAGTTGAGAAATGATTTTTTTCTCTTTACTAATAAACTTAATTTTTTGAGTTGTTTAAAATGAGGAAACTATTTGCTGCTCATATTCAAACGTGTCAATTCACTCAAAAGAGAACCGATACCATTCAATTAGAAAACATTAAATTTTTATTAGAATACCAATATGAAAGAAATCAAGTCACTGCACTACCAAATGTCACATAGTCGCACAGAACTCAGATGAAACTCTATTATTTTTCTATTATTTTTTTTAAAAGACCCGTTGACCGGAATTGATCTTCCTTTGTCACTTATTGATTTTCGAAATATCGATTTCTAGTTAGTTAATCTTATACATAGTAGACACGAACAAACGGATCTTGCATCTAGGACTGCAACAACGAGCATGTTCAAGCCGATAAAGCAGTTAACGTACTCGCCAAGCGATTGATGATTAGTTCTCTCTCTCTCTCTCTCTCTCTTATAAATCCAATTAATCATTAAACTAGTAATAAAATAGACTGTGAAAACAAAGCTGTAAGGAATCAGCGCGATAATTAAAGCGCAATAAAATTTATTCTAACAATTAATCGTTGTATCAATTCTATACAATTACATTACACCATACGTTCCGACTCTGGTTAAGTCATCCTCAGCGTATCTATAATGATAATTCAGCTATTGACGAAGAATTTTGCATGTAAAAAGAAGATGGTTGCTTATTGTGTGAATATTAATTGAAAGGCGAGTCAACCTCATTTCACGCTACTCATTCAGTTGTATGACTGGATAGCATTTTTCTGTCTTTTGTTTCTGGTATTCTATTCTATAATATATATTCTATAGTATATATTCCATAGATACAATTCAATTACATCACTCATGTCACTAATATTTTCCTATGCATATTTTCCTTAATGTTTCATTGCATGATGCAGGAAAATAAACGCTATAGATGTTATTTCTATGTAAAGTTTGATATGTTTTACAATAGTCAATTAAAATTATCATAGCGCACCCAGTTACGATAAAAGTTATTTGTCTTTTCCATATCACTTAATATTGCATGTCTCTCATTGTCGATATATATCATACATAAGAAATACACAAATATAAACTCACTTCTAGGAACTCAGGAAAAGGATGCGAGAAACAGCTTTGAATTATTTACAAAATAACATGTATCTGCTATTTTCACTAATATACATGTATATGTATATTACGCTATCGTGTATATATCGAACTTACACCCCAAAGAGCTTTGATTAAGCGATTCGTTATTGTCTGTTCCCTGTTTCTATTGTGTTTTCAGCTTTAAGCTGGAAACACAATGAAAAGCCAGGCAATAGAAATAGGAAGAACCGAATTTCAACTTACAAGATCAGAAATCATATATAATAGAATGGACGCTTTCTGATAAGTTGAAATCTTTTACTCTCTGTTCTTATTACCTTTTTTGTGCTTTTCATTGTGTTTCCGGCTTTATGTTTCGATTAAGCGATCGCTTACCTTTCGGAGGATTGACGTGCAGCGCGGATCTATACAAGCTCTCCTCGTCCCTCCAGTCGGCATTTCTCACGAGTGTTTTCGCTGACAACATGCCGATGAGAATCGCCGTTCCTAACAGCACCGCTCTGCCACGTGTTCTGGACCCGTTTCTTCTTGCTATCCGGTAACATCCGGATACCGCGGCACCGACCGCTAAACAGGCGCCCACGCTGGGCAGGTACAGTATCCTCTCGGCTATGACGAAGCCCACGTAGAAGAAAAGATTGCTCGCCGGCAGGAACGGAAATACAAGGAAGCCCAGGGAGATGGCAACGGCAGTGGCCGTTGTTTGTCGGCTGCCGACGTTAACACCATTCACGCCGGCATTACTGTTTGGTCTCTTGGCACAATGACAATCGCCGAACGGACTGTTGTTATTGTTGTTTGCCGCCCGACAGCCGTCCGTATGGCAACCGCCGATGCGCCTGCCGGCGCACACGGGACACCTGGATGATGCCGATCGTGGGTACGTTTGTTGAAATAGGCCTATCGTCGAGTCCCGGCATGGTCGTCGCAAACCTCTAACTGCCCAGAATGCCGCGCCAATTAGAACGGCGTACAGACACACAGACTCAAGATTCCGTAGATCGAATGGGCTCGTTATGCGCGGCACGGCGTCCATCGACCAGTCGAAGCTGAGCGTGCTCGGACACAGTAACATTCTCGCGCTGGCCGCCGGGAGATATAGGAACGTCAGACTGCGCGTTAGTCGCGACGGATGCCTCGCTGTCGGATTGTCCGCGCTCGCGAATTCCGGTCTGCTGCCGGCAAGCTTAAGCCGACCCAGCGCGAGCAGCGCGAGACCGCCCGACAGAATACCGACACTACGACCCCGAGTGAACACGCTGCAGTTGCCCTGAAATTCAACGATCGACAGGTATGGCATTACACACTTATAGTTCATTGGGTTTGGAGTTTGATTAAATTAGGTCAAATGTTAATTTAGGTCGCACATAACAGACAGGTGTCGGTACGGTATATTTTATAAGTTTTTTAATTTTTTGGTTGGTAACTGCAACCGCTAAAATCAAACGTTTCAATAGTTATTGTAGAGATTTTAACTAAAATACAAAATGATAAAACAAAATCGATCATAAAGTGTGTAACATAATAAATGACTAACACACTTATATAGCAGTTTGCCATCTGGATAATGATAAACACACAAAATATACATATTCCCCGTAAGAAAAATGACATAAATTTTTCGACTTTCGAATTTCATTGTGTACGAATTGTATTCTAAATATATCCGCTTTTAATCAAGAAAAGTGATACAAGTTGAAAACAAATCCTTTCTAAAGAAGAATTACATAAAGCCCGCTCTACATAAGAACGCGAGTTGCGTCAGCCAATCCGATGCGTCAATTTTAAAAGTGACGCTTCGAGATTGGTTGACGCAACAAGCTTGCGACCTGCGACTCGTGTTTTGCGTTTCTCTTATGTAAATTAAGCTTAAGAAAAAAAATAACACTAAAATAGGAAGTAATTTTTAGAGAGGTAATATATAATAACATTATAACAAAATCGAATATCTATATTATTTTAGATAACATGAAACAAGCGATTAGCTCTAAAATAACTGCTGTAATAAATAATAATTAATTTTAAAATACGCAATTTTCTCTCCCCTCCCCCCTCTCTCTCTTTCTCTCTCTTTCTCTTTCAGATAATTATGTTAATTTTTTTAAATGTCATACTTTTCTTGCAGGAGAATAAATACGATATAAGAAATTATGAATAGTTTTTCTAGATGGATTGCTGATTTTTATGCGTGGTCGCATAAAAATGACTTACAACACACTTTTTTGCCGTAATAAAGAGAATGGCGTCATAGATTTAAAACACGTAACTACAAGATGGCATGCAAGCGCATACTCTGTGTCGCGACACACGTGCATCAGCGTGGCACATGTGTTGCTTGCGGATATATGTACATATAATACATATATAGAAATAATAAAAAGTATTGTAGAAATGCAAGGTATGTATCTCGGGAAATATGATACTGTAATAACACAGCGCGTGGTATTCCTGTTGTCAGTTCATCGGCTATATGTTGTCTCCACATTGTTATGATGCATTCGTAATCTTTTTTTCTCATGAATAAGCAGAAAGAGAAAAGGGGAATTGGAAGTATGAAAGTCTTGTTGCAGCGATGTTTGCTTCGGCGAACGCGACATTCCAGCCGACCGGAAAGTAATTTCGATCGGATGGAAAGGAGAAAATAGTTTGTTCGATGAATCAATGAACAAGATATATATAGATAGATCTCACTATATAATGCTCATGTTGTCGAAATGCGGAGGGAGAACGCTTCGCGATGCTCTTCATTTGCAATAAACAAATGTTATTGAAGAATGGCAAAATAGGTTCTTTCTTTTGGAAATATCCGCTTTTAACGAAATCGTAAAGCGAAAATAATATTAATTTAATTACCTGATTGAATTGTTATGTACTGTAATATAACCGAATATAATGTTAAAAATTAAAAGTATGATATTTCTCACATTTCTGCACAGAACTTGTTAAGTGAGTAACATTAAATTTTTAGTCATAACACTTTCTCAATGTTAAATTCATCATTTTTTTTTAGATTTTTTGGAAAGATTAAAAAATAATATTAAAGTATTAAAAAATAAAAATTAAATGAAGGCTCTCTTTCTGATTACTGATTTTCTCGTCATAAACAATAATACAAACAGTTACTACTCTAATATTTCATAAGCAGATTTTTAGTCGTTATCACTATTGCAATATAATGTTGCAATTTTAATGACCATCAGTCTAATTAAGTTCTGTTGCACTCTTTACATTATTCTTAATAATTTTCTTAATAAAATTTCATATTCATTTTTTTTTATATATAATATCATTTTATGTAATTTTAATTCTTTGACATTAAATGCCTTTTAATTAATATAAATTAAATGAGTCTTATAATTCCAGGATCAATAACTGTGTTATAAATTTTGACATCAATTTTGGAAAATTAAAAAAATGAACTTAAGTATTGAATAATAGTAATAATATTACATATTAATCATTTAATAATAATCAATGTATTTATTTGTTTGTAACGTATTAGATAATAGATAATAGAGATTTGTCATTACAAAGATTTTATTGTACAAAATGGAAAATATTACAGGGGGAGCATGCCCTTTAGATTACATTATCCTTTCTTTAAAAAAAAAATTTTTTTTAAAGAAGAAATATGCATCAAGTACATAAAACAGATTTCAAATATTACATCTTTTCTAAAACCAGAAGTATATTTTCTTAAATAATTAAAATATAATTATTTTAAAAAATTAACTGTTTAAAAACGGATATAAAGATAATGCAATTAGTCAAATATCTCATTATTCAAAAAGAATCTTCAAAAGATTTGTTTGTAATAAACCTATTAATTCTGAGACATAAGACGGACTGAAAGTAACTAAAGTGGTCCATTGATTTATAGTGAAGTAACTTTGCCAGTCTGGGCCGAACTAATTGCATTTCTGTGAATATATTATCAACACTGCATTTGCATTACGGAAATATGAAAATAATAGACATATTAGTGGCATAGTATGTGGGACATGAAAATATACTTACAAATAATAGACAGGAATGTAAATTAATGTGGAAAATAATATGTAAGCATTTTTTAAATAATTTTTTGTAATACATTAGATAACAGAAATTTACCATTATAAGGTTTTTACAAAATGGAAAATATTTCAGGGAACACGTTCTCTAGATTACATTATTAGATTATATTAAACTGTACGAAATTCGCGCGAAGAGTCTTAATGAAATTTCCGTCCGCAGTAACCGCGGCTGGAAACGCGATTCGAAAGTTACACAGACAGTCGGATCAGACTGAAATAATAGTTTGCGGTGAATTTATAATTCACGTTAAGCACGATTACGCTCTTCACTGTGCCGAGACACTCGTCTCCGTATCTCCGACTGGAATGAGAACTGGCGCAAAGTGTGCCACACAAAGTTCGTTAAAAAAGTTAGCTGACGCGAAATTGAATGCCACGTCGTCGTGTTTAAGGACAGTGTCGCGCGCGCGCGCATTTTACTGCACGTTGCGTTCGGTACGCCTTATTACTTCGCATTACCCTTTCCCTGTTCGACTCACTCTTCTTCCTTTCTCTATTCCAATTTTGTATTATTCTGAAGTTTCTTGCGCCGCGAGTTCGAGCGTCGCGAAAGAGAAGAGACACTACACGGGAAGATTTGTTGAGGCACGGCCGTGAATAGTTTAAAGCTCGCCTTAATAAACGAACGATACGTCGCGCTTCGTACAAACTTCCGCCAAGTTCGTTACAACCGTAAGATGTAATTTTCCGGACGATGCGAGCGGGTTACGACGAGCTGTGTATCCGCTCGACGCCAGTGGCTCCGTAACCGCTAATTCCGGACCAAAACTTTTGTTATAAAGACTTTCTGTGACAGCGACAATTATCCGTATTACATACAATAAGGCACTCTGTATATTTCGCGAAGACAGTGTAATATTACGTGCATTAAATGTTACAATAATTTATTCGTTGTATTTCGAAATCGATCGATAGAATACGCTATTGATATTAGATGTGATTCAGTATTGTTATTGATACATTTTACGTTCAAAGAAATAGATCACTTTTAATTAACATGATACAAGTTTTTCATACAATTCACATTTTTACTGACGAAATGTTTATATTCTAGATCTTTATATAAGCACAAATTTAATTATTAATTATTAATTTAAAAGAAAAGAAAAAATAAACAATTGTAATTTTATTTTAATATAAGTGTGACGACATGTATAGTCAAAAGGATCAAATATTTCGGTGTTTAATATCGTTTTTGTGCAGCTTGCGGTAGAGCTCAGCATAGAGATACCACTCTGCGTTTAGTAGCTATTATAAAAGGTTAACTCTGCAACGGCACATTTATTTTCAGCACCTTAGAGCATATATATGAGTCGTTTGTGTCCGACATCATTTTGAGATCTTAAGGAATCATTTTTACAAATACGTTAATATATTTATATTTTAAACAAACTATATATACATATATATAAAAATTGTGTTCATAACATCACAATGTAACTTTACATAAATAATCTTAAATACATAAAGTACTTGTATGAAAAAACTGAGACTTTTATCATTTATTTTATAATACATTTCAATACATTTCTATCAGAGCACAGATTAAAAATATATACTACTTATTAAAATAACTGATGATATTCTAATTAACTCTAATATACCCTTAAAATGTTCTATAAATATTCTATAAAAATTCACGCTATTCTTTTAGGTTTTTAATTTATTCTATTATGTAGACATTGGAAAAAAGTTTGGAAAAATAAAAATTACGTAAATATATGAGAAATAAAAATTTAGAAATGATACGATACGAATGATGGACGTGTGCCGTTGGAGAGTTAACATTTTTATGCACAGAATAAGAATGATGCAAATCAATTGATATAAAGAAAACACATAATTACCTGTTTAAAAAATGATATATTTTCCAATACCCAACATATTTCTTTTTAAGCAACTGCACGCTATAAATGATAGCATTCTTAAATGTCTGAAAAATTCCCGATAAAAAATCTTTTATTATTCTCATCTTTTATTATTCTGCTATTTATTTCGAATTGATGTAAATCAATCTATGAAAGAATGTTTGTGTAATTTATACGTAAAATGTGATAAACTCGTCATTGGCTTTTATTACATTTAAACGTCGCTGTTAAAACTTTTATTTCTTAAAAAAAACGTTATCGTGCATTTAAATTCCAAATGTTTCAACATATCCAAATACGTTCTCTCATTTGGATATATACTGGAATTAGCTTAGATTAGGTTCCGCCATAATTGTCGTAATTCCATCACTTATCGTGGATTTTCTGTTCCGCGACGATATTGTTTTATCTCCGATAAAACGGCCAACGAAGCATCCAAAAGGAAACAAATGTCACGGAGCCGGATTTAACGTTCCGGCGATATTTCACGAGGAGATATCTAACCGGCTGTTCGATACTCTTGCTGAATCGATAATCTGAAAACCAGATTTTTTCCAATTACTTCGCGATCGTTCCGGACAGTTCGATCGTAACTTAATAAATTTCCGCTTTCCGCTCTTCGCGCGCTTTCCGCGTCTATCCCGCTTCTAGTTCTCATCTGCCGAACGTCACGTCTCGTTTGTCTCTCCGGATTCCGATGCAGCTTCTATTTCATGCATATTTCTGCATGGTTGGACAAAGCGAACAGTAATCGAGAAAGCGTAAGTATCATTGCTAACGTCGATGATGTTTTCGTTTCCGAACGGTGAAGTATTTCTGTCCTGGATCTTGTCATTTGTATGAAAAAAATCACAGTCTTCCTTTAAAAATTATGTATTGTATGTCATATTGAATTTTGTATAATTAAAAAATTACAAAGATTTATAAAAATTTATTAAAATTGCTATTCTCGATGTAAGAAATATACAATTTGAAACTTTGTGTTAAAAATCTAATTTCTTTCGAGAAACGATGGGAGAAGAGAGGGAGAGGGAGCTGTAGAGAGATGCTGTCGATGACGCGAACATGAAGATGAGAGAGAAATATAAGAAGAGAAATATAAATGGAGGAAAAGAGAAGCAAACGGAAAGAACGAAAAAGTTGTGAGGCTCAGAGGCGCTCGGAAGGACGTCGGAAAATGCGAACGATCCTCTTGGCACCCCTCCAATCGCGGTTAGGGTAGGGAAAGAGATGGGTGCACGTCATGCATCACGCGAGGCGTCCGGTGCATCCAGCGCATCCAGATGCATCGTGCGCAAAAGGAGATGGCGAACGAGGTTTTGGAGATTGCGAAGGGTAGAGGAGATGGGGGATGTGAGTGACGACAGTAGGCGCCTAAACGTGGAGGCTAGAGAAAAGGTGGTTTACCGTGTGTGCATCAGTTTGCTGTCTTCGCCAGAATGCAGACAAGATGCAGCGCATTGCAACGGCACTGCGTTATCGGTTACACGCTTCCCCGAATCCGTACGCTCGCACGCGGGTTCTGCCTGTCTTCCGCCTTGTTTCCCTGTCGAAACTTTCACGCTTCACGAAACAAGACGCGCGGATAAACGACGACGCGGTGTTCTCGCGCGTGGCAATCGCGGAAATCGTGCGGCGCGTCTGCAAACTGATATCGATTCGCGAAATCTTGTGCCAGTATCAGTTTTATCAAAGCGAAGACATCAAGTTTCCGGTTTCATGTAGCTAAAGATATCTTTATCAATACTACATTTTCTGAATACTCTTAATTTTGCGTACTTATACTTCATATCTCATATGTGCAATTATATATTAAGAGTGTTTACATTATATCATTATCACTATCGCGAGCAAAGAATATATATAAAACTTTCTTAATATTTATTTATTAATACGTCAGCATGTTAATGTAAATTTTTCACCTGTGCAGATTATTGCCATACTAATATACGAGACTGTATATATTTATATGGCGATAATCTGTGCAATTTACGATCGAAAATTTACGTTAACAAATGTTTTCACATTTCACCAAACGATTCATCTAAATTATTGTATTAATTCTACGCAAGACGAATATATTAAAAAATAAATAATATGTAACACAATGTAACACTTTGATGCAATTTGGAAACAAATTGGGGAAGCATATTTCTTCAGTAAAATTAACATTTATAATATGTTAAATTAATTAACATGTACATTTTATTCATTTATTTTGGAATTTACGTTTTAAAACTACATTATTTTTATGTTACGTGTACACTATGTATCACAAAATGAAAATAATGTAGCTTTAAAACGTAAATTTCAAATTAAATGAATAAAATGTACATGTTAATTTAACATATTATAAATGAAATTTGCATTTAAAACTACGTTATATTTTACTTATAAATAGAACTCGGATTATTACGCCGACCGATATACCAATTCGAGTTGATCGTAGCTCGTTTCTCACGATTCTCCCTACTGCACTGCCACTCGCTCGAAGTTATGGCGAGCGATGGAGCGACGCGCCAATGGCGCCATGGCGCGGGCGGTGGGGGATGAGGTGTAATGGGGAGAGCTAGCTATGGTTAACTCGATCTCAGAACTTTAATTCGGACTCTACCTATAAATTATGTCATTTTAACACTAACAATAAATTTTGAATATTAATTTAATACAAACTGTTCAAATAACACAATGACATTATGTTAACACTCAAATATGTTAAAAATTTCAATTCACACAAAAATTTTAATTAGAATTAATTTTAACATAAGCACAACAAAATGTTTTTACTGTCTGCGGTGTATATGTCTCAGAAGATGAATAATAAAAAGATTCGAAAGAACGAATATTAAAAAGATTCAAAAGAAGAGTGAACAAAATTTTAAACTTTTTCTAGAGACAATTTTATATTTAAAATTAACCTCGAGTTATTTTCATTTCTTGTTCTAAATATCTAATTTGACATCTATAATACTCGATACTGATATATAAAATGATAAACTAGATAATATCGCGCTACTTACCTTTCGACTTGGCTCGCCACGACAGAGCTCCCACAGAAGACAGAGAGCCAAGGACGATATGCCCGTTTCCTTGGCAAGGGTAGCCAACGTCGACGACACTAGGGCCAGCAGCAAAGGAAACGACGGTCTCGTGCGATTACAATGGGCTGAATACGTCAAGAAAGATATCAAGGTCAGGAAACAGGCAAGAAGGTCGGCACGTCCGACTATACCAGCCACAGCTTCACTGTGAATGGGATGAACCGCAAACAGGAAACCTGTGATCGCGTGCGCGAGATTGCTCCTTCCTGGTAGGACCTGCGGAGTGTAATTGCGGATATCTAGTAAGGTACACATGTAAACGTCTCGCGTGGCGATCCTTCGACGGGAGTGGGGCAAATTAACTCCAACGTTAATTGACTCTACTATTCCGCCATGAGGATTGCTTGATCCGAGTTTCGATTTAATTGCCTATTGGACAAATGGCCAATAATACTAATGGCTAACAATGATAACGATAATAATAATGTCTATTCAAAATTTGAATCTTATAACACGTCGACTTCTCTAAAACTTGTAAGATTTTTATGGAGAATGTTATAATATTAGTTACAATCTATTTTGTTATAAGAAATAATTAACATGAATTAATGTGTCAAAGAACTTTGCCTGTTTTTATATTGGTTTCGATAACAAAATTTGTGCAATTTGCCAATTACGTATCATTTTTAAAAAGCAATTATCTCTTCTTTTTGTAACAATTCATTTATTTCATTACCTCACAAACATGATAGAGTAGTAAGCCTTCAATCACAATCGAAAATGAAAAGAATAATCGATAATATTGATGTTGGACTTGAATTTTGGACTTTCATTTATTAGATGTTGTTGCTGAACATATTCCTCAAAAGTTCCGTGTAAATTTAAAGTCTTTATATGCATTTATATCGGAACAATGGTAATTAAAAAATGCTATTCCATATTTCCTGCTTTTATCCTAAATTTCTTTAATAAAATTAACATTCATAATATGTTAAATTAACATATCTTATACTCATATATAATCTATTTTATTATTTATTTCTTAGAATTTAGATTTTAGAAAAAATTATATCTATACATGTGTATGTGTGTTATTTGTTCACTTACTCATTGTATTATTTTAAATTGTATTATTTTAATATCGAGAAATATTGAATATCAATTTAACACTCATCAATTTAAATATTCAAATAACCCAATCACATTATATTAAATTAACACTTAAATTAAAAATTTAATTAAAAAATTTTGTCAAAGATCGATTTGAACACAAATGCAAAATATTCACTGTGTGACAACGACAATCATTTATTCATAATAAAAGAGAGAATCGGAAAATATGGATAAATATTTGGATCAAAATATGAAAAGAAATATCAAATATGTAAGGAATACAATATGTAGAGGAATACAATTCACAGTTTTATGCACGACGCTTGGTAATCGTCAGTAGCAGCCATTGACGAGGGTTATTCGAAAATTATACGATCCAATGCACATTTGCAATAAGGGGGATAGAGGGATACGGTGAGACGAACGGAATTTCAAGCAGGGAAATTGTATAAATGTCGTATATTTTTTCAATGCGCTAACAGAAAATCGAAGGTGGCGACGAAATGGCTCAGAAGGAAAACCGATCGGAATCGAGACCAAGGAAACATCTCGCGGCGAAGCGTTTTACCGAAGATATTAACAGCATGCATAACTCAAAACGCTGTTCTCGAAGTACGAGAAGTACTTTCATTAATACACTTAGACGCAGTTAATTAGCGCGACAGTTTCATTACACGAGAAAGTGCTGTGTGTATTAAATTAACGCGGTTCCTCGTACTTGCCATTTCCTCATGCTCATAATAACGCGCTAAAACGATTTGAGTTGCTAATGAACTTATAAAACGGTACGCAATTTGGATATTATTGCTTATTTTCATGATTCCAAGAAATGAGTTAAGTACTTGTATTATATCCAATCACGTATCAGTAGGTATTTGGCCACACGTTCATTCTTAACTGAGGGAATTATTTCGCGTGAAATAATACAATCTAATAAAATTGGTATTACCAATTACAACCATTATTAGAACTATGGTATTACAATTATTATTATCATATTATTATTGGGAATTCAATATGATAATAAGGAAGTGCTTTCTGTGCTTTTGATGTATGTATCAACAAAATGTACGATACGAAATGTGACAGTAGCTACGAAATTTAACATATTCGCAAAAAGACAAATTCACATGACACAAATTGGAAAATCACGCTAACAATTTGTCATTGCAAAGCAAATACTTGTAAAAATATTGCTCGTTAATCTGAATATCAAATATTACATCGATATTATTGTCAAATACGTCAATTGGAAAAAACTCAGTACTCTTAAAGCATGTAATACTTAAAAAATTAAAAATAACAAAAAACGATTTTTTTTAATTGTGATAATTTTATTAATTTAAAATTTAGAAAATAGTTCTTTCAAAATAGTAATCGAAATAGTCAATAGGAAAGTTGTCGGCATTTCGGCTCAAATAAAAGGATTGCGCTATTTTGATATGTATCTAGAACCTTAGCATGTCTAGTAATAAGTATAAATATGAGTATTTCTCTGCAGTGTTCTCTGCAGATTTTTTTCGAATTCATGCTTTAAATTCACAGTAGTATTATTAAGCGTTTCACTTTGATTATTAAAGGCTTTTTTTTTTCTTGTTATATATTTTCATATATAATTAAATTGATTTAAATTAGTACGTTTTAATTGAATTTGGCATAATTTATTGCATATATAATTAAATTGTTCTTTGCATAACTCCTTAACGCGTCATTAAAACATATCAAAGTTAAATACTCGCCAAGTTAAAGTTAAGTTAAACATGATCGAAAGAGGTAATGTAAAATTAAAGTCTCATTAGAATGATAGGACCTTGTTGCGACTCTTTTGATTCTCCGATGTATGCGGAAGTTGTTATTTGAGATATTTGCGTACAGTTACACCGAATCGCCATTACACTTCCTTTTCAAGACCGTGCCCTATTGCCTTTTTCAGAATAAGAGGGATTTCAAGCTAACTAAAACGAAGTGACGTCGTAAAATTAAAACTGTGCAGCAGGCTTATAGTAAAGTTAAGCGGGTTTTCCCTCGTTATTTGAATTCTGCCGTCGACGATCCTTTAAAGATGTGCTTCCACACAGATGAAATAAGAAGGATCTCAGCGGCTTTATTTCAGATATAAAACGAACCTATGATTACTTAATAATTAGATGGATTCATAACGCGACTTTTACTGCGAAGCGAATTGCGTTCCTCTTAATCTCCCCCGATTAAATCGTGCAAATTAGTGTCATGCAATAAGGTATAATTGATGGTAGAAGAATTAAGTCTACCGATAGTAGATGTCTAAATCTTGATTAATTGTCGGTATTGTTTTCTTAAATGGCAAATAACAAGGACAATTTATACGAAATAAAGCAAAAGTGACGTAGAGATAAAATTAATTAGCAATTAACTTTTGTTGAGTGTTGACGAATTCTAAATGGATTTCAAACTATACATCAATCTTTCATGACATTTTTATACAATATATTGATCTTGTGAAGCTGATGTCAAAATCTATAATACCGATACCGGAGAGCCATTCAATTTTTTATTAAACAGCATTAATTAATTTGAAGAGATCAAAATGACATAACTAAAATAAAAAATTATGAATACTAAATTTATTTTAATAACAATAATTAAAATTTGCAGGTGTAAAGAATATATTTGATCCCACAGATTCAACCTTGGCAGCTCTGATGAATTAAAAGAGGAATACAGCATATTTCAGCACTGGAGGAACTTTTAGGATTTTATTTTTTTTTATAACACTACCACTACATTACTAGATATATATCATTGAATATTATCAAATCTATGTGATATGCGTTCTACAGGTGTCATCGTTAGTTTATTTCTATCTTAGCGTAAATCCATATTCTCTAAAAATGAATCAATGATTTCAGTGCCACACTTATAACTGATGTAATCATTAGCAAATATTTATTGTCTTTTAGTAATAATATACTCTTCACTTTGAGGGATTAGGATTCTTTACAAGTGAATCTGCAGAAAATCATAATCTCTAAAAGTAAATATTCGTTGATGATGTATCAGTGTATAATGATTCTAAGTATAACACGGAAGTCAGTAAGAATACACTGATTTAATTTAGTGCTGATTCTACAATGAGTCAATAGGAAGTCTTAGTCTTAATCAGTGAAGTTGTCTAAGCGTTAGTCCTACAAGTTGACTATTGGTTAACTTCCGATAAAACTTACGACTACCGACTCATTATTGTAGAATCAGCATTAGAGAGTATGCTATTTGTTATGTATGTTACGATACTATCATTTTCTTATCAATTTTCTATTCTGGCTGAAGTATATATAATGTTTTTCAGAATAAAAGTTTTTTCACAGGTTTAAGATTAAGAGCTAGCAGCATCTTAAACCGACAATAAATTTAATTTACAAAATTATTATTTCATAATTGATTATATTATAAGTCCGAAAATAATCGACGGGTAGTCATATATATCTAAAACAAATGTATTTAAAATACATATAGAAATATTATTCCAACATCTAATTTTAATCGTGGTTGGCGCTTCTCTTACAATTAGTTGGTATAATCATTTTCTTGTTTGACGTAATGAAATCTTTTTATTCCATCGTGATGTAATCGCATAATTCGTTTATTTTGCTTCGCGAGATAATATCTTAGAGATTGCGGAAACAAACACTCACCTTTCTGGCGACCTTGACCACGAGAACGGTACAGGCGGCGTGTAATGCCACGTTCACCAGATGGTAGCCCCAGGGTTCGAGACCACCTAGAAAATGGTTCAGACGAAAGGTGGCCACACAGAGCGGTCGATAGCTTCCATGTGAGCCACGTTCCGTCAGCGGTGTTCCCCAGAAGTCATTCTCGAACAATCGGTACCAAGGTGTGCTCGCCAGTAGGTCGGGATTTGTCAGGATGGCTCTTCTACAGCAAAAAAAGTGATAATCTAGATTATATATTAATATTTTGGAAAATTTGAAAAATATATATATATACACACATATACGATATAAATAAATTTTTTTATATCTAGGGAATTTATATCAGGGAATAAAAGAGTTACTTTTCCATTATTTTTATAATTATTTTTTATAATAACAATTTGAAAATGATGTCGTAATTTTTTATGACTGTAACAATGATTAATTACACATTAAACCACAGACTTCTATATATTATACAGAAGTCACTAGATTGCTATCGAATTTTCATTCTTTATTTTTTATCATTATTTAAAAAATAACGATTCGTTATTTTTTTCGTTACATTTTTATTTAATGTTAAAATAAAATATTAGATTAAAAAATGACATTATTTAATAATAAATATTAATTGTAACAATCAATATTGAAACTTGAAATTCGGAACTTTCTATACAGCGAGCATATATTTAAATATATGTTATATTTATTTAATAAGCTTTTTTTGTAATTTTTTTATATTGTTTTTATTTTTTAATGTATGTTTATCTTTAGAAATTTAGATCTACAAACACGCGTAGAAGTTATTAAAAATTTTTATTAAACATTGTTTTTATAAACAATATCGTTATTGAGAATGTTCTAATAAAATAATGTATTGAATAAATATGAAAATAACACTATCAAATTTAAACTTTTTTTTCACGAATAGGAGTGTTTATGATCAATTAGTGAGTTACAGATTTTTTGTTGCTAAATACATCTGTACAAATACAATCTGTAAATTAAATTGCTCTATTACGTCACATTTTTAAGAAAATTGAACTTGAAAGTTGTCGGAAATTGCATTTTTTGGTTTTGCATTTGGGTTTGCATTTGAGCTAAATTATTTCGGAAACGTAACATGATAGAGCAATTTTATTTATGAATTCATTTTCAGCAACAAAAATCTAAAAGTCATCTATCTTATTAGCCGTTTTAAGCAAAAAGGAACAACCATAATAAAAAAAAGGGAACTTAAATTCATTTTTAGATAAATATAATCCTCTTTGAGGATTGCTCATGTAATTTTAATAATCATTTCACTTGTCGTTTTTTTTTTATAACAAATGAAAAAGTAATGCATTACTTATATGAAAATTTTTTCAGTAGAATCCAATAGTGTTATTATTTTCATTCAAACTAAATTTTTATTAATTTGTTTAAACAATAATTGTTAAACAAATTATATGTGATAATTTTGATTTTAGATAATCATAATCAACGATCTCACAAACCATTATGTGCAGATGATTTAAATTGTCCTCAAAGAATTATATTTATGTACGGATTAAATTCCTTTCTTCTCATTGTAACTGTTGTCTCTTGTATAATGCAACCAATAAAAGCAGATGACACTTAGAGAATTTTTGTTGCTGAAGATCCGTAAATAAAATTGTTTTATCACATTACATTACTGAGATATTTTAACTCAGAAGAACCAAAATGAACCATTTTCGATATTTTTAAGTTTAATTTTCTCAAAAACATGACGTGAGCAATTTCAGTATGGATTTATTTTCAGTGATAAAGAATCTAAAGAAATCAAATTGAATCTTGTTCATAATTTAAAATCCGTACAGTATAATTATTATATCGAACATTATAATTATTATATCGAACAGTTAATTAGAGATTTAAGTATCGATAAAAATAACAGCTGAATTCAACTGTTAATGTAAGAATTTTCTTTTGTTGTAACGATAACATCGATTACAACAGAAGAAAATAAGGATTATAAAAAAAATCATTACAAAAAAAAACAATGATAATGGTAATGGCGTTACAAATAACGCATTACTTCCCATCCCTGACTATAGAGATTATAATTTAATAAAATATTATGTAGCTAAATAATGAAATTATTAATTTATAATAAATCCTAATGATAATTAAATGTGCTTTAATATTAAATAATAGTGCAATGATGAAAATTCACATAACTCGATCGAATTTCTATTTGAATTTGTACAAATTATAATCAGATTTGCGCTGAAAAAATAAAACTAGTTATGGAAATAATAAAAATTGATAAAATTGTTTTTTTTAGCACGTCGCAATTTGCTTGTAACTTAATCAGTGTATTGTAATAATGTAATCTGTATTAGGTTACCAGTTTACAAGCCGTGTTAAAAATTGCGAGATAGGTATTATTATACCTAATGCAATTCGACCCGCGGTCAAAATAAAATAAGCCATTTCTCTCTCAATTTGTCTATTTTCTCGCCATGCCGTGTAATTTAATACGGGACTTGCAACAATTCAGTCAGTTCATCGCGTTAACCGCATCAACCGAAGTTCTCGGGCCGAATGCCAGCGACAAATCATTCGGGGTGGCATTTAATAAACCATTTTTATCTCGCGTCCATGAATTAATTACTTGGGCCGCGAACACACCATCTCATGTATGCATGTATTAGTTGGCAGAAACAATTTTTGCGCTCGTTATTGATCGGTCGTTTCCTATCACCGTGTAAATCAGTGCATCGAGGTATTCAGACCTCATTCGAGTGTTTTGCATTCGGGGAATAAAATTGAAAATTAATAAAGTGTATTACTTGTTTGACGGAATATTTAATAAAATAGCTATTACGTCAGATAACATTTTAATATAAACCGTTACTTCTAAATAGGGTAAAATAAATAAAAAGAATAATACTAAAATAATATTTAAAGCACGTATAATATTAAGTAAAGTAAATTTAAAATACGTATAATAATAAGTAAAATTTTTTAATT